GAGGAGGAGGAGGCGAAATTACGATGGGAAACACATACACACACACACGTACAAGTCTGGAAGATTAATGGTAATCATTTAATTCTCCTCTTTCGCCCCTTCCTCCCTGCCGCCTGACTTCCAAGTGCCCGGGTGCGCAATTGAGGAGGTGTGTGGTGGCTATCATCGTGCACATGTACCAGTAGGAGACCTTAGGTTAATGCTGTGTCCTTGACCCAGCTACACTTTTTGCCCTCTCCTCCATTCCCTCGCAGCATTCACAGCTTCAGCTGTTTACTTGCCCTCTTATTCATCATTGAGATAAGACTCCTTCTGAAGAGGCATTCATGAAGGGCTTGATGAGGACATGGGGGTAGTCTTCATACATCTGTGGAGTTAAGTTACTCCTTGCACGATTGAGGCAAAGAAGTCTTGAAGAAATCCCATTTCTATAGGCGGAGAGAAGAGAAGAGGGATTTGGAGAGTAGGTTGGAGATACGGAAGGCCCAAGAAATTCTATATGCAGCTGGATCAAATATCACCCTACTGCGCATTCACATGCCCCTTCGCTATCCATGCATCCATGTGACCAGAAATGATCAGTACAAGTAGTGGGTCAACAAGGATGGTCGAGATGACCTCCAATATGGCATCATCAAGTCATTCCCACCTGCATGGCCATGGAAGCCGATTCTACTCAGTATTTCGGTTGACTGTCCAGAACTGCTACGGGTCATGCTAAGGGAAGGAGACGGAGAAGGAGGCGAAGGAGCAGGCGATGACAGATGTCCAAATCATATGCTTGAATCAATCTCTATATTCATACCACCTACAATCCACCAATCCGCCATCTATCCAACAGATCTCTGATGAATGCAAGTAGCAGACTGGTGCATCTTATCATGCCTGCAGAGGGCCACAGGACACGAGTGGTGCAGACCTTATGACAGGGGTAAAACATTTGTTAGACAACCGGTGACCCAGTGACAGCGTGTAGTCGCGCTGTCCACCGGTCGGTACTGTGTCTTGTTGACGAGTATGGGTGACTTCCAAAGTGCTGCCGCTTTCGTACTATTTGCGAAATGGGATCCTATGACTGACCACAGAGAGATGCAGTCTTGTTAGGTCTAACACCTTCGGTCTCGTTTATTGCTCTTTTTTTTGCTGCTCAGGTACCCCAAAGCTCAGGAAATCGAGAATTCACCTTTCACTCATCACGTTAATTGAAATGAGTACTTAGTTAGGGATTCGCTTTCTCCCTTAAACGCCATTCTGATCGTGTAATCATCAGAATTTTAAAGCCTTTAGAATTTATCCTCACAAAATAGCTGTATGTGACACCTTTGGTCCTTTCCTGTTTCGAACCACAGAAGTCTACCGATCAACACGATGGAATAGAAGTCAACAGCTACTGGAATGGCATTTCTGGACCAGGAAGAATGTCACCTCTTGCAAAGAAGCGGAGCAGAAACTCTCCCAACTAGTCAGGGAGGCGACTAACTTTTACTTTGGGTGGCTGGGGAGTTACGCTGTCCCGATGGAAAACCGCTTTCGTACACCTCCAACCCAATGAGGAAGCCCAAATTTGCCTCAGATAATTAAGTTGTGGATTGGCGGTGCAAAATACAAATCTGTCCAGACCTCAGTCTTCACTTCGTTTCTAGGGCATCTGTCTACAATGAGAACAAACTGGTAGTTTAGTTACATCATCGGTGGTTTGGTTAGGCACTGCCTCATAGAATTCTGTGTCATTGTTAGTCACACTCATTTTATTGCCTTTGGCTACCTTTCAATTTTATGGGCTTGATGGGATCCATATACCATGCCTAGGCATGCAATTACTCTTTAAAAGCTTCTTCCTTCCCAATTCCTACATGGTAGCCTCGCGGTCATAAAATAAAATACACACTCTTCCTCGTAAGAGGCGAGAACCGGAAGTGGGACTCTACAAGAGGCATGTCAAATTACCATCAGGGAATCAAATTTAATGGAAACTCGGATCAGCCTTTCTACTATCCGTGAGTGGTGCTGCTAAACTTCTTATAGAGAATTTGAAGTCAACAGATGTCACAAACATATTCCCCGTCGGCGTCACATATATGTGACATGATTCCTTTTAAAATTTATGTCAACCGGTTGCACCTAGTCGTAGTAGGAGTAAGTTTAGTACAACCATTGCAAGAATGGTCACATTTTTCTTTGGTTTTTGAGGAGAACAAATTCGTATAAAGCATCTTTTTTGCGTTTCACGGGTCACTTTCCCTTAAAGACTTCGGCAGCGAATGCATTCAGAAGGCAGTGTGTTTAGGTGGGAAGAAATATTGAAAGGGTGGTTTAGCTCCTCCACCTTTTCTCCTTCATTCCCCTTAACCAGTTGGTCTAGCTTTTGGTTATGGCTAGGATGTGCTAAATGTCAACCAGGTCCATTGTGGAACAAGAAGAAGAGGCGGCCGGGGTGGGGGGGGGGATGGGGAGCGTGGAAATAAACACTATCAACCAGAATAGGCCGCATCACATGCTACCGCCATCACAAGTGCCGGCACGGCAGCAGCTACTTTGATGTAACCCCAGGGCGATCTCTGTGTATTCATGACCCATCTATTTTCCAGATCAGTAACGCTTTAGAGGGCAGAGGGTTAAAAAAAGTCATTTTTACACTCCTAAAGTGAATAAAGTTGGGTCGGCTCCTTATCATTTGAAGCGCTAGTGCGGTGGGTACAAAACCGTAAAATTTAGAGTTAGTTGATATCACTCCGGTGGAGACGCGGGATGGGGGGGTAGCACTGAGAACCGCCCTGTCCATTTACAACAGGGCCAACCTGTGCCTCTTAAAATAGCAACCATTAAAGGCCTCCTATTTGTGCACCCAGTAAGTAATAAAAAGGCACTAATTTGCACTCCCATAAACTCATTTTCCCAAACATTTTTTCTCTGCCTCTTGAGAATTGGCTTGATTGTGAATTACTGACTTCTCGACGGTTAATCAACCTGCTCAGCCGCCAATCGCCACTTTTCCGCGGTCTTTTTTTACCCTCGTAAATGTGGGGATTGTTGTTTCCTACCTTCCTGATGACTTCCTTAATGCTTGCCTCCCAATCTGCACCACTTTCATATTTTAGCATTTCTCTTTATTAAACCGACCCGATCATAGGGATCAGAGGTAGTTCGCCACTAAAAGAGAGGAGGTGTTATCCACCTCTTCAATAAACTTTATGTTTCTTTTGTTCGGGAAAGCTAGATTTACTTTGATTTGTGATGTAATCGTCCCTTGGTGACGCAGCTTTTCTTAGAATACACATTGTTTGTGCAGGAACAGCACTAATCGTATGCCATTCTCCGCGGACCCTTCAGGCCACTTCGGTCATCGCCCGGGCGGCATGTCTTTTTCTCTCATGACATTGTCGTGTTAGTAGCCCTTCAACCACTCCTTGCATCAGGAGATCGCAACTTTTGACACCTTTTCAGGAGGTTATGAGCACCACGAACGCATTGTGGAGGGCGTTTGATTCGAAAGAACCTCATATTCACCTACAGGTAAGTGCACGTTTGGAAGCAGTGTTATTTTGTCTGCTCTTTCCTTTGAAAGTCTTTTTTTTTCAGCGGTAATTACCACCTCCTTCTTTCGAAAGTCAATCTCACTGCGCAGAACGGAAATTTCCTCTTGTCATCCGCCTGGTTGTAAATTGACGCCTCCTTTATTTACCACAGCATTGGTTAGCGTCATCATTATTTTCTTCGAGTAATTACTGCCGCATTGTTGATAAAAGCCAACTGAAACAGCTTTTTTGGGAAACAGTAACCTAAGTGGAAATCGCCAACCTCCGATCAGATGTCGCCCCGTCACAATGTACCACCAATGCCGCTGCTTCATTTTTCCAATCCGCTCCCAATTGGTTTCCTTTTAAGTAAAGATGCAATACATGTGTGATCCACGGTTTGGAGTGAGAAAATCCGCGCATCCTGCATATGTGACGCTGGTGGCAGAGGTGTTAAAGACAAGGAATAGCATTACGTCGATGATTTGCGCTTTGGAGAAGCATAAATTCGCCATAGACTTTTCAGTCACTTAATCCTAGTAGCATCGAAGCCAAAAATCATCAATTTTCGGTGTGCCAATCCCCAGCGCCTCTCGAAGGGATGCCCTGAACACTATCTTAAATCAATTTTAACAATAGATCAAAGCGACTGTAAACACAACTGATCTACTTCAACACTGGGTTAGACGTGTGCACCAAGCCAACTTGGCGTAAACTTACACACCACACATGCACACGCTGCTACTCTAACTGGCACAGATTTGTGGAATTGGTTCACTGGTGCGCAAGCTGGAACCGCTGCATTCAGCCTCCGCCTGCCTGCAAGGTCCGACAGGGTGCAGTTCGCCTTCACGCTGCGAAAAAATCAATACTGCTCGCTACCCGTCCGCTATCCATCATGCTCGCCTCTAAGAGAGAGATGGGCAATTATCGCGTTACAGAAGGGTCATTATCCCGACCGCTGTGCCTAGAGGCAAGCGAAAACGGAATCTTCGCCTACTCCTCCGCACCCACACCCTGGCAACACATGTCTACACATCCCAGAAACGTTTATCCAGATAATGCTGATGGTGATGAGGGCGATGCAAATGATGATGATGATGATGATGATGATGATGATGATGATGGTGATGAGGGAGAGGAGGAGAATGCTGTTCTGGCATGAATACGGTAAATGCAAAGGAGCGAAAAATTAGCATGGACCTCCTCCTAGTCAGCGTTACATACGCACACACACACACACACACGCACACGCGTGCGAACCTCGCATTACTGGGTGCGTGTGTGGGGGCTTGCCACCAGGCTGTGTAAGCTCCCTTGGCATTGCGCGTATGTGCGTCGTCGACGGTGGATCGATGCGCCCGACCAATGGCGTGGCAGTTGGCGTTCGCTCAACATCTATGTATACGCATGCACGCACCCACGCACGCACGTACGCACGCACATGTACGTGCGCACGGTGGTAGTAGCAGCGGCAGGAGCGATAGTAGGTGTCGGTTGCTTTATCCTGTGGGTATAGCCTCAGGGCCGCATTTTTCCATACATTCCGTCTTTCTTAGGTCTTAAAAACCAACACCAACAACGGCAACAACAACAGGAGGGGTGTGGGGGTGAGACGGGTGAGGGGGTCTAGCATCCCCCATTCAGGCATTGTTTATAACCGGGGCAGGGTAACATGCTTGTCACTCAGCTCGTTAAGTCCACCCCTTTTAAACATGAGCTCTGTGGAGGTGTTGTTGGGCTTGTCAAAACAGACAGCTAAAGACTCATTTCCTTTAATAAAGCCGAGGCGAGGAGACGCAACCCCTACGTTGACGTGGTTTTATTGCACATCGCTTTGGCCATTGTCTCAGCCGAAAGCCCATCACGTGACTCGCTAACCACGTAGCATGTCTGTAGGCGCCACTTCAAGTTAAGTTGGACTGGCACGAAAAGCAGGAAACAGTCAGTTTACCTCACACGCAAAACTGAGGAACTTGGGTGGAAGGAGGGGGTGAGGGGAGGAGGGAGTAGACTTCAATCCTCAGCTGCCTTTTTAAGACACCATTTGGGACACTCTTTCCATTTTGTGGACAAAATCGTCTCCAATGTCGAATGTCCTGGTGTCAAAGTAGCAAAATCACGGAACTTCATCGACTTGTCTGAGACTGAAATGAATTTCTCTTTGTCTTCCCGACCTGATTTCGCAGACGGAGTATCTTCACCATCACTGAAGCAACAATTTCGGGTGACTTCATCATTTTAGCAATGGTTAGAGGTGCCTGTTCGGTGATCTCCTTGCCAAACGCACACAATCATATTGGTGTGACAGTTCCAACTTAATCCATCACCACGTGAGAGGAGGTAGGTGATTATCACCTCTCCTCGCTCTGGCTCTAAGACGTGGGGGTGTCAAATTTCACCGAGGTAATCGCATCAGCGTGGCTACACGTAAAACCCCTCTTATGAGTCACAACTTATTGTTCTATCCCGGTGATGGGGGTAGGCAGCACACACACACACACGTGCACACGAATGCCAACCGTTCGTGTGTGTACATGACTCATGCACGCCACAGAAACCGCCCTCCTGATTAGTGGGATTAAGCAAGGCAACTCAGCGTATCAATTACCACCCGTGACAAGACGGGGAAACTGGAATCCAACAGGTCACCCTCTAGTAGTTTAGCTTTACATGAGACTCCCTCCAGACAGGGGTGTGACGCATGTCAATTCACTCCAAATGAAGGCATGGCAGTGGTTACTACGAGACCCGATGACAAGTAGAACAGAGCTAATAAGGGAGTAGACAAATTCCAGGCCATTGGACCAAAAAAGGCCTCATGAACACATTAAATCTGGTTAAAAAAACTCGACAGTGACTCACGATTAGTACCCACTTCTTAGAGAGGAAGCTGTGAGTTCACAAGTGGCGCGTGCAGCCTCACGACGTGACAAACGAACACCTGGTCACCGGCACCCCACTCCCACAATGACAAACACTCCCAATCAAATTTACGTTTCAGAAGACAAGTAAGAACAGGCCTTTGCTACACATTTTAATATTCCTCGGCGCAATGATTATAGGGAGGGAGGGGGGAGGGTAATGGGTGAGAGTGAAGTGATGAAAATACGCCGTACTGATGCCGGTTGGCTCCTTCCACACGTCGCACCCAAAGTTCCACCTTTATGCATTTGTCGCCGACTCCTCAACACGCACACAAGTGGTTCAAGGGAGGGAGTATAAAGGGCGATTGAGGAGGCACCACTGCAAGTGGTAGGTAGCGGCAGTGATGGTGAGTGATGCGAGCAACAAGGGAAACTGTGTTCAGGGTCACGTGGGTTCCTTGTTGCGCACTTTTGGTTGGGTGCGTGCATACCAAAATATGAGGGAGAGGAAGAGAAAGTAGTAGCAATGCAGGTGATGAAGATGACGAGGAAGGGATGGAGTAGGATCTTGAGACTAAATGATTATGATGAGGCGGTGAGAGGGAAGAAGAAGAAGATAAGAAGACGCCTAAGACTCGTCATTTCACTCTTTGGTCAGCTGTACACAGATATGATACTTTGTTAATAAATCCCCAAAAACACATTGGTGAGAGGGAGTCAAAGAAGGTAGGGGGAGTAGGAGCGGACATATGGAAAGCCACTGCTGCTCCACTTGTTTGTTTCTTCGGTGGGGGGTCAAAGTGGGGCCGGGCGGGGCAGGACGGGGCGACAGGAGGGTACACAGAAGCCCAAATAATTCCCTGATTTTCTTCCACCTCTCTTGGGGAATAGGGTGCGAAGGGGACTTGAAAGAGTGATTAGATACCTAAATTTCCGCCACGGACAGATTCGCCATCTGTGTCTCCAGCGTAGGTGCTAATCCCGACGTCCCATTGGTTGTCGCCGCTACTGGGTGTTCAGAAGACCCCACACTGACCCCCTCACCCTCTTTTACCCCATGACCATTCTGCGCGCTCCTAGCCTGGTGCACCCCATTGATGTGAGATTTCGAACCACGGGGTTTCAGCGGAGAGGAGATGGCAGTAACAGCGGCGCCAGTAGAGGAAGTAGGAGGAAGCACACCACCTCCATAAAAATGAGACCGCGAGAGACCGGCAGCAGGATCATTAAACATTCCCTCCGCCGACGCACTTTGGTAGAAGGCGGGGTTAATCGTCTGCTGTTGTTGCTGGCGGTATATATAGCCTAAAACGGTCAACCAATCAATCAATCAACACCCCTGTTCACATACATTTCCATACATAAGAAACAAGAACGTACTCATATCACCCGCCGGGGTAGTGGGATAGGCAGAAGCAGCAGGCGCTGTAATAAAGGGCATCTGGTTGGCGGTGACAATAGCAGCCATGAAGTCGTTCATGGCGTTAGCCTGATTTGGCACCTGATTGACATTTCCGTTAGGCACAGGAGCAGAGTTTTGGGCCTCGGAAGGGGAGACGGAAGGAGGAGCAGGTTGGTAGTAGTATCCAGGAGTAGCTTGGTAGTAGAAATGCTGCGAAGTGGCTGCAGCCGCCGCTGCAGCAGCTGCCGCAGCAGATTGGTAAGAGAATGGGAAAGTCAGATAGGGATGTGTCGCGGCCATTGGCGGATTTCTCGGTGGTGGAGCTGTGGACACCGAGGCCTGCGAAGGCGGTGGTGGCCGTGCCACCGAAGACTCATACCACGCGTCGGACCTACCTATCGTAGGTTGATTGAAGAGCTTTTCAGCGGCCTGCTGATCATAGCTGGCTCGGAAAGGCGACCTGTTTGTCACATGATGCGCAGCTTGCGGCCAGGCGAAGTGATTTTGCAGTGCCGGCTGTTGGCCGAGACTGTTGTAGTAGAAGAGATTCAGCATAGCCTGCTGAATATCAGCCAGAGAAAATTGTGGTGTTACTTGTGCCATTGCTAAAAAAAAAAACAAGACTAGCTCGGGACAACGGGAACTAAGATCGACATTGACGCGCAGAACTTACCTCTTTGACGAAAAGAAACTTCTCGAGGAACAGCAACACGGACATCACACTTGGAAGTAAAAGAGACGTTTAAGAAAAAAAGAATTGAAAACCAACAAGAAAATTCGGGTACTCACACTTTTTCCATTAATCTCCTGCCTCTCGATAGAAGCAGCCCTCTTAGCCTCGTACTCCGAGGAGAATACAACAAAAACATAACTCCTACGCCTCATCCTAGTGCTATCAAACGGTGTCTCAACTGCTTCAACTTTGCCAAATTTACTGAAATGCTCTTCAATTTCCTTAGGGCTGACATCAGGGTCAAGACCACCAACAAAAACTTTGCGCTGGGTGTCCTTCGGGCACTTCGCCGGTTTGGGGTCAATTTTCTTCCCATTGACTATGTGTTCAGGAATGCTCAAGACCTATAAACAATTCAGCACTTCTAATAGGATCTAACCTTTTTAACGGACTCATCGCTTTTGAAAACTATGAAACCGAAGCCACGAGAGCATCCCGTGTCTCGATAGAGCTTCACAGCACAGGACACAATCTCCCCAAATTTAGAAAAATAATCAATAAGATTTTCTAAATCACAGTAAGAAAAGAGGACGGCGTACGCTCAGTAGTATCTGGCGTCAACGCTCCGACAAAAATCTTCTTGTTCGAGCGGGGACTCCCCGAGCAGTTATTCTCAGGCCTGTGTACGTCGCAGTTCTCGGGGATTAGCGAGGAACAAGACTTATTAACACCATTCTCCTCTCCGTTGGTAGTTACCTCAACACTTTTAACATCATTAAGGGAACGCTCCTGAGACATAGTTTAAAATAATCCCTAAAACACGCAGCAGAGAAATGTCAGCTAGTCCGCCAACCAAACACTAGGACGGCAAATCCGGGGTTGGTGAACTTAAACAAAGTAGAAAGAAAAAAATCAACCATTTCAAAATATTGCACTTTTTACCTGACACGTTCATGTAGGCTTCTTTTTGGTGGACAACAGTAAAGCAAGCTGTATGTGTGTTCAGATAAGGCAAATACACATAATGTGCAAAAAACTGCATTCATGGATATCATAGAATCCGAAGTCTTCCTCAAAGTCACAATAGGCAAAGACAAAATAAAAGTATTTAAATAACAAAAACAGTTGTTTGGCTCCTATGAAGGTATGTGGGTCATAGATCATGGTGAAAGATCAGCATCTACTAAATGTGGCCCACTGAGGTTTAAAAAAAAAAATTTTAAGAGACATTCCTAGATTTTCCCTGAATAATGTTCTACATTAAAGATTACTGCCCCTTTTTCCTTAAAAGACAAATCGAGATTAGGGGTATCAGTAGTTTAGTTTTTCAGCAAGTATGATATGTTTTTCCTAACTTACCATAGGAATAGGCTCGTAGATCTCCTCTTCCCTGGTCCTCATACTCTTAGAACTCCTAGACTGATTTGGCTTTGATATGCTTATTAGGATAAGTAAATAAGGAAGGCAAGTACACAGTTTAGGGGCAGTGAATAGAAAACCTCTCTCCGGGTTGCAGACGTTGACGCCTCAGTCACGAGGTGACTCGTAAGCCCGCCTCTTCTCCAAACAGAATATAAAAACAACAAAGACATTACATTGCACATTCAGCTTGGCAAACCAATAAAACTAAATCAAAGGAAGAGTGTATTTGTGGGATTTTTGTGGAGAAGTCCAAAAACAGCTCCACAGACCTACTTTAGGACATCTATTATTTTACACGTCGTTTGCATTTCTACGATGACAAATTACCTATCTATTTTGCTCTGATAATGTTAAATGGGGCATAAAGGCAATGTCACTGGTTCTCCGGCAAAGATCCAAGTGTTATTGCTGTAGGCGGACTCGTAGAAAGCCTTTTTTGTAATACGACGGTTATTTAACTGCCCTTTTTGGTAAAGGGCCACTTTTGGCTTAGCCATTATACCTTGCTGGGTGGGCTGACTTCCAGGCCATACCAGTAGCTCCAATGCTTTCTCTATGTCAAATATATACGCGCATATTCTGCCCGAATATTACGTCTTCCTTCGTCCTCAGGGAAGTCTCAGAATGCAGCAATGGTGGCAGAGGAAAGCAAACCCGATCTTAGAGAACAGCCACAATTATTTCTATTGCTAGGTGGTAAACATTAGCAAGGCAGAGGAAGTGCATATGCTACGGATGGGAGAATTGGTGGTGACCATAAACAGAAGGGCTGAAACTAACGTCTACCTTTGGCAACTACCCCAGTCCCGTGTTTGCAGAAAAGTTTTTAACAACTAAAGCAGCATTGGCCGTGATCCATCTGGAATGGTTTCATTGTGGAGTTTCCCTACCATGCCTCCATAAAGTTGTCGACAAAATGAACTCGTGATACCTCCCTCAAATCTCTACGAGCTGAATAGAGCGCGGATAGATATGACCGGGCAGTTCCGAAGTGGGAACAACATGGGAGGGAGGAACAGACGTAAAGTCCCTCTTTCGCGAACCTGTGTTAAAGCCCGTCTTCCCCTACACAAGTCTGCTTTTGGGCCAGTATTTCTACATCTATCTATGGACAGGCATGATGGCTAGCACAAATCACCATTCCTGAATCCGGTTCCCAAACCGGACGAAAAGCCAGATTCAGTTAAATTGCCAGTCAAGCATCTCTACAAATGAATAGAAATTTGAAGATTGGCACAAGAGGCTTGCAATAGTTTCCTTACAGCACTAACTTCGTTGTGATGGCTGACGCGAAGGATTAGCCTGTGAAAGCGCTGGATACGGAGCCCAAAAGAGCAGAGGGGTTGTGTAATACATTGGCTGTTTGTCTGACAATCGGTTTCCGTAAAAGGCTACTTTGTCTTAGCCACTGTTGTCTTGGCCATTGTATCTCACCAGGTTGGCTGGCCTCCGGGCCATACCAGTAGTCCCTCTGCCTTCGGTATATCGGTTATGTATATTCTACCCGCGTATTATGCTGTAATGCGATAGTGGTTTATCCCTCGGTATTGGTAAGGCGCCACTTCTGGACTTTTGAATTTGCCCTCTTGTACCCCGCTGGGTGGGCTGACCTTTGGGTCGTACCAGTAGCCCAAGCACCTTCTCTGTGCTGAATATATATTCTGCCCGAGTATCGTGTCTTCTTTCGTCTTCAGGGAGTCTCGGGACGATACAATG